GGGGTAAAAGCTCGCTATTAGAAAGGTGTACTTAATGAAGTGGGCAGTGAGTGTAGCAGTAATTGTTTGTTTGCAAAAGACAAAAATAAAATTGTAACATTTTACAGTGTAATAAAGAAAAAGGGTAATAAACACTGGCAAAAACTTTAATCTTCAGTTGTTGTCTGTACAGGTGGCTATCGCTCAGGAAGGAGAAAGCTTTGCTATCCTCGTAGATGGGATGACTCTGCATATAATCTGCTGACTGTTGAGGACATTTTTGGACACTTGCCCACAATTAAAACATAGCATTGTTTTGTATTGTATTTTATTGTTAAAACTCAAGGGTTAAGAAATTGTTTTCATGCTCTCATTTTTTAATTGATGAAAACTCACCTTGCCTCCATTATTTTAGGCTCAGATGGACCTATGCCCTCATGTAGTACTTAAGAAATGCTGTACTTAAATTAGCTACCTTGTACTTAAAATTACTTGTAGTGTAATCATCTACAAAAACAACTGGTCAGTGTTTAAATTCGGTTTATAAAGATTCTCTGAATTGGTGTGTTTAGTTAAGCACAGATTAAATTTGGCATTCTTCTGTAAACTACTCATTATCTTTATTTATTCACATAAACCAAGGATACTGCTGTTGCAGACCCCTGGTTCCTGTGCTGCCATGATAGGTTGCTTTTCTTTGCTTTAATAAACTCCTGGTTGCTTTGGCTGTATGTTTTGGGTCATTGTTCATTGGTCATTGTATTATGAAATGGCACCCAATCAATCTGACTGTATTGAGCTGGATTTGAGCAGACAGTATGCTTGCACTTCGCAGTGAACCGTCTGTATTTACATTCATGCAGTCTTCTCTTTATAGTAGACTTGAATATGGATATGCCGACCGCCTACCTCAGCTCTTTTAACTCAATAGTACATATTATTAAGGTTATGATGTAGAATAAATATACAAATATTTATTTTATTTTAGAGCGACACAGTATATTTGACACCCTTATCATTTGTTTATTATTTATTTTAATTTACATAGTTTACAAGATTGAATAGGTATAGGTACAAGTATTTTATGTAATCATTATATGAATATGAATCCTTTTACATTTTTACAGATCAAAAATTTTACAGATTAAACATCTACTGACCAAACTTCCAGCTTTGCAAAATTTTATACTGGGGCATCATGGTGACAAGAGAGCTGAATGTAAAAGCAAAGCTCTGGATTTACTGGTCGATTTACATCCCTTGCTCTTGCCCATCATCACAAGCTCTGGATGGTGACCAAAAGAAATGAGCTTTCTCCAAAGGGTAGCTGACCTCTCCCTTAGTGTTAGGGATGAATGGATCAATTGATGGATGGATCTTTTAAGATTTGTTTATTTAATTTTGATTCATAGCTCTAGAACAAAAATATGCAGTTTTGTAACACACCCACTATGACTTTGGGTGAAAAAAACTGTTGTTATTGTTCTACGATTAATGTAATAAGTAGATGGTCAATTAGGCATTGTCTTGGGAAAGGAAAATGTAGTTCCTCTCATTAATGTAAGGGGGTGCCAGAAGGTTGTCTTTCTAAATGAGGTTTGGTTCCCCTTGGTGGTTAAAGATTTATTTGTTAAACTGTGCATTTAAATGTGTGTGTTTCAACTCTAAATGTCACCAGACGTTAAACACAGTGACAAAGATCATTAATTCACAAGTTTACAATGATTATAACAAGTGAAGGCTTAATTAAAGACGTAGTAAAATGTTTAGATTCCAAAAAACCCCACCACAAAAATAATATGTACAAATAGGAATACAGTAGGTTCTGGTTGTTTGACACATGAAATTTCCATGAAAATCCTGACATTGATGCTGCACATCATTAACATAATGTAATGTAACGTAACGTAACATAACGTAAAGTTACATAACACATACCATTACAGCAATTACAAGTACATTCTTTTTAAAGTTACTCAACAGTATATCCTGTGGGCAATCCAAGGAGTTTAAGAAAAAAAAGGTAAGTGAACAGGGTGCATCACATAGTTAATATAAATCTCTCCAAAATGTGTTCAGTATTACGGTCTTAACTTTAGTAAGACCTTCAAATTACAAACTGAAACCAGTGATAGTACTTCATCCTGTCAAATTGTATTGTTTAAGACATTTACTATTTAACTCTGTGCATAATCTGATATAAATGATCATAATGCAATATCTTTATCAGATATAAAAGGAATTTTAATCTTGTAGTTCAGTGAAAATTTCACCATCATTAATGTGATCAACGCTTGTTATCTTTAAGCCCATCCAAGGGTTTTGTGGAAACTCAGTGTTTGTGTAAGGTATGCCGACACGGCAGTAGTTTTCTGTGCTGTATACTTACTGATTTTATCTTTGACTACTTATACCAAAAAAGCAGCCAGCACAGAACCAATCTGACATACATTACCAAATACAAAACACACACAGTAACTAACACTGAGATTCTGTCACTGTTTTGGTTATTTTATGTGTTTTGCTTACTGCCAATTTCTCAATGGCAAACCACAATTCAATAGGTAATAAAAGAGGTAATAGGTAATTAAAAGTAATTATAAATTGCATTGGGAGCCACTGAAGTGATTTTAATACTGGAGTAATGTGGTTTAATTACCTTTAATTAAATTTCTTAAGTGAAAGCAGCTCTGGTAACCTTATTGAGGTGATTATCAAAACAAAATCACTGTCCAAAATGATGCGATGAGATCAAAGAAATTCATTTGGTTTTTTGCAAACAATTTTTTTAAATACTTTGCTGAGGAATGAAAGATTAGGAAGTCTGAGTCTTAATTATTAATTACAATGGATCTAAGTTTGTTTTTTGAGTAGTGGTGTGATTACATCAGATTTAAGAGAAACAGGAAAAATGCCATGAATGTAGAGAACTGTTGATAATATTTACTAAATGTTTTCTAAAGCAATGACTTATAATTTGAATAGTTTGGTGGGGATCAAAGTCAAGCAAAGAGGCCCAAGCCTTTAACTGGTGAATATCTTCTTCCAGATCTTTAAAAATTGGAAATGATAATGTGGACATTGTGTTTGTAGTAGTAATTTGATCAGAATGTCAGTGATGGATAAATATGAGAGGCTAAGATATTTCCTCATCACATTCACTTATTAGCTGAATAAAATTCAGTTGGTATGATTTTGGAGGGATTAATTAGTTTATCAGTGGATGAAAATAGAAAAGCAGAATTAGACTCTTTATTGCTAATCATTTGGAACATGTAGTGTTGTCTGGCTAATTTTAGCTTGTTTTTATAGCAGTGAAGTCCTTACTGTAGATTTTAAAATTAATTTGTAGTTTATTTTTTCAATATTTTCTTTCACCTGTCCAGCAGATTCTTTTTGCCTGCTTTAACCTTTCACTGTTTCTTCAGGGTGCTTGAGGTGAACCCTGTATATTAATAGTTTTAACAGAGGCAACATGGTCAATAATCTAAGACACTGCATCATCATAGGAGGACATTATTGGTCATTTGCACTTTGAATAATAATTTCACAATCTCGTTGTACCTGTACAATGACAATAAAGGGCTTTTCTTTTCTATTCTGTTTTTAATAACTGTTTCAGCTGTACTGGCTTTGACATGATACTTATTGAAATCAAGGCCTCTGAAAAATAACCCTGATCAAGCGTGTGACTTTTTGCTTGGGTAGGGTCGATCGTATACTGTTTAAACCAAAGCATTCTAAGAAACTGATAAACTGTTTAGTGTCAGAATTGTTACTGTTGTCAGTGGAAATAATAAAATAATCTTAAATAAAAATACAATCAAATTTACGGAGAAATACAGAAAATAAAATAATTAATTATAAAACTTAAATGTTAAACGGCAGAAGATACTATAGCAGCCAGATGAAAGAATGGAGAGCAGAACTGCTTACAGCACAATTAGGTTTGTGGATTTAGTTTCTCAGACTGCTCGGAGCCATCGTCTGGAGCTGTAATATCAAAAACAGACAGTCGGGAAGTATTCTGGTCTTTTCAAAGTATAATAAGCAGGTGATTGTTTGTTTCTGTTTGCAAACACAACCCTCTCTCTGCAGAAATATTAGTGGTTATCAAGCAAATGAGAGCATAAATAAGAAACGGAATGTGTTTTGGCAAAACACAATCAGGGTTTTGCATTTGTTCTTTTAATATCTTCACTCAAGACGAATTTCATTGGTTAAATTAGAATTACATTAATAATTACATTACAGTCTGCTGTAATTACGTAAGTACAATGGAAAACTATACATCGATGGAATCTGATCAAATGAAATTTCTTACCTTTCTCACCTTTCCTCCTTTTGTAAGCCAGAAATATCACTGCTGCAATGATGGTGAAAACTAGAACAAACCATAGAGCAAACCATAGAGCACGGTGCTCCATGGTGGTCCCATCAGAGAGCTTCTCTGCTGAAGAAAAGAAAGCAACACTTTATAATACAGAGCAAAAATGTGTGCAGTTACTAAAGAATTTGTAATAACCACATCACATCTGATAATTGATGAGAATGACATCTCTGATTGAAACAAAGAGCTGCACAAAACAAGAAGCACATTTGAGAGATCAGACTGTGATGTTTGGCGAAAAGGCCTGGTTCGCAGTCTCTGCTCTAATTCATCCCAAAAGTGTTCATTGCAAAGGATTCTGTGCATGCAAGTCAAATTCTTCCACAGCAAACTTCCTCGTCCTTGTCTTTATGGACCTTGCTTTTTGTGGTGGGTATGAAGGGGCCATCCCCAAACTCTTTCCACAAAGTTAGGAGCATGAAATAGTCCGAAATGTCTCAGTATGCTGAAGCAGCATGCTTTACACAACTGCGTCCATTGCAGTGATGTAAGGCTTGGATGCAGCTACTCAGGCATGGAAACCCATTCCATGAAACTCTCTACAGCTGTGTTGCTGTCATTCCCTGTCACTTCCACTTTGATATATAATAGCACTAACAGTTGAATGTGGAATATTTAGTAGCAAGGAAATTTCATGACTGGACTTCTATCACAGTACCACGCTGGAGTTCACGGAGAGCCTTAGACAGACCCACTCTTTCACAAATGTTTGTAGATGCGGTCTGCATGCCTAGGTGCTTGATTGTATACACCTTTGGCCCTGGAAGCAACTGGAACACCTGAATTCAATGATTTGGATGGGTTCGTGAATACTTTTAGTAGTATAGTTTATATTTATATTTATACTTGTAGTTATTAATAAGTAAGACCAGGATTAAGGATTAAGGACTTGAATTTGAAAGCTAGAGGATGAAAGAAATATTTACAAAACCCCGCAGGATAAAGTCTCACCCCAGTTGGTCCTGATCACAGCTTGGTCCAGTTTGATGACAATGTCTTTGTTCACACCATAGAGCTGAAACACGCAGTCGTACCTCTCCCATTCTTCAGGAGTGACTGAAGGTTTCAGCTCAACACTCATCTGGAAGGACCCATCATTGTTAGGGAGGATCTCTCCTATGTCCAAGCCTTCATAAATATCCTCTCCATCTTTCCTCCAGAACATCGTGGCTTCGTGGGGATAGAAACCTGTAGCGTGGCAGCTGACTGGAGAGGAGGGAGTCTTCTGGAGGAGAGACACTGAAGGAAGAACTGGAGAGAGACAAACAGTTGTGTCATTATCTTTTGAATTTTACTGTACTTAAGAAATGGTGAAGCCTATGAATTAGGCCTGCTGCCATTTTACCTGCTGACTGCAAAAAGCTACTTCCATAGTGCACATATTTCTTTAAGAACTCGGGGCATTCGTGACTTAAAAGATTTTGATTGATTTCTAATCGAGCTTTTTCAGTATCCCATCTCAGTTTGGTGATGACAGCCTGTGATTTTGGAGCGATCCATGTCAGTGTCTGCAGGTCCAATGCTAAAAAGTCTTCTCCATCATAACCATACTGATTGAACCCATTAATCTGTCCAGTCTCATCATCCCATTCACAGCCACTCATCCTCTGCATTATATAAACACCTGAAAAGAGAGACAGCAACAATAACTGCAATCACCAGTGAGATGTATGCAGAGTTAAAAGGTGATATCGCACCTACTGAGAAAGAATATACCACAAAGAATTAACACGGGGTTGTTTCTTTGTAGTGTTCTTTCTTTCTGATGAACAGTTTATCAGGATTCACATTTTGTGTTCTTTGGATTCATTCACTGCTTCTTCTTTGCTATTTTTTATGTTAGCAGTGTGGTGGGAAAAATACCATCAAAAAAGACCTTCAAATTGTCATGTGCTTTGAATTATTTTCTTAGAGGGATTTTATAATAATCGGGATAATATTTCAGCAGTAACATGTGAAATGACCTTCACATACCTTCACTTTGGTTGAAACGTTGTCTCAAGCTGTCAATGTTAGCCTTGAAGAAGTGTTGAGTACCCAGACATTCTGAATTATACCGTTCCACCTGCTGAGGATGATCCTCAAAGAATTTAACCCAGTCTTTTGTAACCTCCACCCCTCTTATGTTATTACAGTCACCTATCTGAACTTCATCAACAAATGCAACAACCACAAACTCTGGGATGCTCTGGGCTCCAGGGCTTTCAGTGGAGAAGAACTTCAAGGAATGTTTTACTGTGAAATTGATGGGACATTCAATTATTACATATTTTCGTGTATCATTTAAGTAGGTTAAATATGACCTTAATTCAGGTCATTTTTCACTGTAAAAACATAAATCTATCAGTGATACATCAGTGAACATAAAAAGAGACGGAAAACAATGATGTGTAATAGGAAAGGAAGAGAGCAGAAGAGACAGGATAATAGCCACACTGTGGAAGAGAACCAGAGTTTAGTAATAACTAATGATCAAATGCATAGTGGTTTATAAACACAGAGAGTGAAAAGAGGTGAGTGAAGAAGAAATGTTCAGTGCATCATGGGAAGCCCCCCGAAACCCAGACTGATTGCAGCCTAACCAAGGGATGATTCTCTCACTGCCATCTTATAAATCTTCCTTTTCACTCTTTCTGATGTCTTTCTTTCCTAAATGACCCCTGACCCTCATCTTCATCCTGCCTACACTCTCTTCTTCACCTCCCTTGTCTACTGTCTGCTGCTTTGGATGGTTAATCCCAGGTATTCAAAGTCATTCACCTTCACTACTTCTGCTCCTTGAATCTTCACCATTCCACCTGTCTCCCTCTCATTCAAACACATGTATTCTGTTTTTGCTTCTACTAACTTTCATTCTCCTTCTCTCCAGAGCATATCTCCATTTCTGGAGTTTCTCTTTCACCTGCTCCCCACTCTCACTCCTCTACCTAATATGTAAACCTGCTCATCACCACTGCAAACAAAGGATCAGAGCCAAAGGGAAGATCCCTGATGCAATTCCACCCCCACCTTGAACCCATCAGTCACTTCTACCTCAACACTGTTTGACTGCCCTCATACATGTCCTGCTCCACCCTTCTCTCTCACTCCTCCACATAGCTCCTTCTTAACTTCTCTAAACTTCTCCATCAGCATGCTTAAAGCAAATGTCACATCTGTATTGCTCTTTCTCAGCATGAAGCCATACTGTGTGCATAATGTTCTGTACTAATTTAATAACACCCTATTACTTTCCTGTCAGCTACAGTGCAGCTTGTGAGCCACACAAGATGACATGGGAGAGGATACGTTCAAAGAAAAATGTTTAACAGAACAGCAGCTGCTAGCAAGTTTACTCTCCTTTGTGCCCTTAAGAAATGTGCCTTTTTCAAAAAGGAGGTGGTGTAAATACTCCATGTGAGGTCCTGTGAAATGGAAAATGTATGTGCCCAAGAATTTGAAGTTGCTCACTCTCTCGATCAAAAAGTAAATAATATGTCGACAGCTCATAGTGAAACTAAAAAAGATTACATCTCTTGCTATTCAAGTTGTTGTAGGTTAAGGAGAACACTTTTTAAGACTTAACTTGAACTATGATCTTACCTGAAGATGCAACATGACAGCAGAGGAGTAATATGAAGACGTTCTTCATCTTTTTTCTTAATTTTTCACTTTATCAGTGCAAGAAAAACAATTTGGCTTAGTTGCCCGTTTCATTTCCTGATGGGCTGTGCCAAAGTTTTGAGTGATAAAAAAGTTAAACATTAAACAGACTAATAACCTTCAAGAGCCTCCTTGTTCTTTTCTTTTTACCACGCATGTGCACTGCTTGTTCTACCCACAGTATTTGGTAAATACTCAAAACTTCGAAACAGGAAAATATGTCTCATATAGCCAATGCCAAAATACATTGGCTATGCATTTTTTTAAAGTTTCTATGACATTAAATTGTTTAGCTCAAAGACAAATGATCAACTTAGTTAATTGGGCTAGACAATTTATAATTTTTCATGACAAAATATTTCAGGGAATCTAAAGTAAGCTGTACCAACTTCCATGATCCTTGGTTTTGTACCAAGCATTTTCTGTTTTGGACTCTTAGTTTCGGTTTAATATTTTCTGTTTGACTTTGTTTTAGTTTTCAGTTTGAATAGGTTGTTTTCATTCTGATTCCGTATTCATACTTTTCTTTGTCAGTTATTCTCAAGTTTTTTCCTGTCCCCTCATGTTCCCCATACCTAGTTTGTGTTTCTGTTAGGTCTCCCGTGTTTATTCAGTTTTGTCGTTGTTTACGTGTTTTAGTCTCAGAGTTTAGGCTTGCTTTGTTATTTTGATAGTCTCTCGTATCGTGTGCATTACGTTCAGTTTCGCAGTCCCTCTTGCTTGTTGATTGATTCCATTCACCTGCACCTTGTTTTCCGCAGCTGTGTCGCTTTCCCTTATTTGGTACAACTAGTACTACTAATAGTACTAAAATAAAAAAATACTTGCACTCAATAAAAAACAAAACAAATATGATTATATCGTAAGGAGAATCCAATGCACGCATTACAGAAAAATACATTATTTTTAATACAAGGGGGAAATTAACTGTCTGCCCTACAAGGTAAATACATAAATATTTGAGAACAGGTCACAGAACTAAATAGTTGTTATCCTAGAAACACACAGTACCAGTCAACTTCAAGCTTTACTTCACAGACACATATTTATTTCAGTTTAAACCATTAAAAAATGGCAACAACACAGTGAAAAAGAATTAATCATTACAATTTGTAAGTTCACAGTGATCAAAACACATAGTCATTTGTTCCTGTTTTGTCCGGAAAAAAGTGTAGTCTCATTTAATCCCATAGTTTTTTAAAATTCGGTTAAGTGAGAAACAAAATCAGACAGACTTTATTAATCCCAGAGGGAAATTGAGTAGACTGCAAACATGTATTTGTGCTTAAAATACCATACGACTCTCTAAAAGGTGGGACACCACAATATCACAAACACATGACTTACACTATCCAAATGCATGTCTCTTTGCTATAATGTAACTACAGCAGAAATATAAAATGTATATAAACCTATACATAAATATAAAAGAAGCTTAGAGGAGCCTCTAAATGTGCTATTTTTGCAATATGAATAAACTTGAAATTTCCATGGAAATTGCATCACTGATGCTGCAACATCAGTGTGTAGCACACTTCATTGCCAGATGTATAAACTAACATACATTTAATACTTTGTTTACAGAGGATTATACAGGTGTGTGTGTGTGTGTGTGTGTGTGTGTGTGT